GTAGTTTTGTCGAAAACACTTCTAACTGTGATATATGAAAAAATTTAGGGTCGAGACATCAACATGAACCTGGATGACCATTGGAACGTCCTCCAGAATATCCTGATCACCCGTAAAAGTGGATCATCGATGAAACTATGAAAAAACCGTGGTTTTTTTTTCGAAAACTCTTGGAACTGCGATTTAAGATAGAATTTAGGGTCGTGACATAAACATGGATCCGGATGGCCATGAGACTGTCCTCCAAAAGATCTGGAACATCCGTAAATTTATCATACTGTGAATTTGATCCTAGAGCTCTGCAGTTCTTTTTTAAAAACTGTGATATAAGAAACCTCTGGATCACTTTTACGGATGTTCTGTATCTTCCGGAGGACGGTCCTATGGCCATCCAGGTCCGCGTTTTTTATCTTCATTAAGGAGACTTTCAGCCCTGGGCTGGTTCGTCTCCGGTACGTGTTTATATCATGACCCCGAGTTCTTTCTTATATCGCAGTTCCACATGCTTTCGAAAAAACCGTAGAACTCTAGGATCAGTTTCAAGGATTGACCATTTTTAAAGATGTTCTAGATCTTGCGGAGGATGGTCCCATGGCCTTCTAGGTACATGTTAATGTCACGACCGCAAATTAATTTATATATGACAGTTCCAAGTGATTTCGAAAAAAACCGTGGAACTCTAGGGTCAGTTTCATACAATGACCACTTTTACTGATTTTTCGGATCTTGCGGAGGACGGTCCGATGGCCATCTGGGTCCATGTTTATGTCACGATCCCAAATTCATTCTAATATCGCAGTTCCTAACGTTTTCAAGAAAACCATGGAGCTCTAGGATCAGTTTCGTGAATTTTCCACTTTCACGTATGTTCCGGATATTTCGGAGGACGGTCCCATACCCATTAAGGTCCATGTTTATGTCACGACCCCAAATTAATTCTATCATCTCAGTTCTTAGTGTTTTTTTCAAAAACTGCGGAGCTCTAGGATCATTATCATTGATTGACCACTTTCACGGATGTTCCGGATCTTCCGGAGGATGGTCCTATGGACATTTAGGTTCATGTTTATGTCACAAGCCCAAATTCTTTCTATCATCACAGTTCCTAATGTTTATATAAAAAAAAACGCGGAGCTCTAGGATCAGGATCGTGGATTTACCACTTTTACGGATGTTCCGGATCTTCCGGAGGACGGTGCCATGACCATCTGGGTCCATAACCCAAATTCATTCTTATTTCACAGATCCTAATGTTAAACAAAAAACACGGAGGTCTAGGATCAGTTTCATGGATTGTCCACTTTTACGGATGTTCCGGATCTTCCGGAGAACGGTCCCATGGCCATCCAGGTACATGTTTATGTCACGAACCCAAATATTCTTTTGTATCACAGTTCCTAATGTTTTCAAAAAAACCGCAGAGCTCTAGGATCAGGATCATGGATTGACCATTTTTACGGATGTTCCGAATTTTTCGAGGACCGTTCCGTTGTCTCCAGGATCCATATATAGGGACCATGACTGTATTCTGGCTAATTGTGAACATTTGTGCCCATTAATCTAAATTACAGATCTTGCGACACTTGCAAAACCCTACAAACAAACCTTTCAAAAAAACGTGTAACAACTCTTGTCGCTTTTTAAAAAAGTAGACGACTCTATTTTCAAGTTTTTTGCAATCAAAATATTCAAGAAACACTAGGAATTCTAAAGGTACCACAATTTTTAAAATTCATTAATAAATGGCTAAGTTGTGCCATTGCAAACTTGCCGTTACACGTTTTTCGGAGGCTTCGTAGTCGGCGTAAAGTTTTTTACCCACCGTATTCGGAGTGTTAAAAGATGAAAACGACATGGACAAGGCTATTGACATATTTTACACTAACTTACACAATATCATTGGAGTAGTCGTTCCTAAAAGACTAAAGAGAATAATTAACAGCACCAAATATCCTGCGTGGTATACACAAGAAATCAGAAATATTAAAAACAGGAAGCAAAAAGCACACAAGTCGTATAAAAAGTTTAAAACTTCACAAAATTTAGAAAAAAATACGTTGAAATTTACGGAGCACTTGAGGCAGAAATATCGTCAGCATATGAGAATTACAACTCAAGAGTAGAGAACAACATAAAATCTGATCCCAAAACGTTCTTTAACGTCGTGAACGAAAAAAATGAAGACATGTACATTCCCATCACGCATGCAGTTTGAAGAGTGCACACTTAGAAATAACTACTTTTACACGAGACGTAATCCATATTGGACGTAAATCATAGAACGTAAACAAAAATTTCATGTAAAATTAAGTGTTCTCAAACCGAAACAGAGCTAGTCGACGAAGAGAACGTTTGATTGAATTGATTTTCACGTTTCTTTCAACTGATTCTCATGTCAAATGGCCCGCTTACATGTGTCGGTCTCAGGGAACCGAAATTTACATGACTTTTTAGTAGTGTGTGTGATAGCACTGATAGTGAGGATATTTGTAACCTATTTGCTCACTTTTTCCAAAACATATATAAGTTCGGTTTGAACTATTTTTCTTAGCTACATGAAGGGGAAAATGACGTATCAGTTAATAATATCACTGTTAAAGAAATGTTTATGACTCTTGAAAGTCTCGATTCTGGCAAAGCACCTGGTCCTGATGAAATACATCCATTTTTTTTTTGAAAAAATAGCAACAAGTTTTGTTAAACCATTGTTTTGGCTTTACAATTTATCTCTCAAAACAGGTGATTTTCATAAAAATTGGAAGACATCATTTTTAGTCCGAATATTTAAATCTGACAAACGGTCAGACATTTAAAACTATAGAGGTATTGCAATTATGTCATACAGTACTAAAGTGTTTGAAGCAATTTTTAACCAGAAAATATTTAACCAGGTTAAGCATAGCATTTCAAAAAATCAACATGGTTTTTTTTTAAGGTCGGTCAACGTCTACTAATCGTTTGGAATTTGTAAACTTTTCAATTGAAGCAATGGATAGAGGTAATACCGTTGAAACCTTATACACTGACTTTAGTAAGTGAATATTCAATTGCTGTGTGAAACGCTTCATTTTTCCACAGTGGATTGAATGATTAGGTCACACAGAAATCTTCATAAATATTCGTCTAAATAGCAATTTTGTTGGTTTTTGATGTGGTTAATTTGGTTCAGTCCTAAATAAGCAGTTTTGTCAAAAATGAACTGCAATGTTTCATTATCCCCAACGACTGGGAGTAAAATACATTCATTTTCAGAGTCCATAATGCAGTCAGCATGGCTCCTCATCTATCGTGACGATGACCACTTTAAGTCTGATATTTGACGTTAAGCATCTTCAACTATGTAAATCGTTAACTTCACGCCTGAAGTAACACAGTAAAGAAATAAGGAAAAAACAAAAAGTTTGTTGTAATTGTAATTTGTTATTGATAGCCAATATCTCAACCACTAATGAAAAATCAAAATTCTTCATAAACACATAAGCAGTTCCAAATGAAACCACCTACCGCACAACTTTTCCGGTCCTTCTTTGAACAAATCCGTCCGGTAGAAACTTTCTGGCCATGATCGATAATTGGCCCACTTGCATTCTCCTGCGGTCCTTCACAATCGGTCCGTACTTTCCAGATTATACCGACACAACTGACCCTTGGCTCTTGCCTTTATGGCACTCCGGCTCCAGTAGCAGCAGCGACCGACTATACAATAACGACTATCTGCGGGACGATGGGAAAAAGAACAGCGGTGGGCAAAACACCTATCAGGACACGCATCAGACCATCACGGAAAAGGCGTTTAGTACCGTGAGGAGTAGGTAGGTACGTATGCAAACAGCCATAATTACCGAGTCAATTGAGGTGGTGCCTTCATATCGTGTCGGCAGATCAGACGGCAACAAAAGGCAACGGTTTGAATCAATTAGCTTTACGGTGGAGTTCACCTCGGTGATGTCGATTGTCCTTGGAGATAAGGATATCGAGTGGGAACATGAAAGACTGCCATCACTATAAGCCAAATGCTGTTGATGATGGGATGTGGGTTCCGTTATACTAGTTGGGCAAATCAGAAGCAATCATTGGAAGTTTATCGGTGATGAAACAGTGTTTCATGCCACACCATGTTGAATTTGATTGTAAGTTCACCCCACTGGGTAATGCAATATTCTCTGACAATTTTGTGTATAAGATATGGGAAATCTATAATTAATCATCGCATAGCATAGCATAGCATAGCATAAACCAGGTTGCACAATGTCGTAGGTGGTACGAGCTCCAAACTGTTGTTAAGAAGGCAACCCACCTTCATCCGTTGCTGTTAGATAGTAATTTGTGATTAATTACTACCTCTTAGATAAAGGATGTGTCCCCTCCAACAGACCAGAGCTGTCCTGGCTACGTCCTTGCATCTGGTGGGGAAAGGGGAGGAATGTTAGTCCAACACTTACTTAAGAGAGATGCAGAGAACTCTACGACCCCTCATAAGTGTCACGGGAAGGGTGGATATTTGTTAGTAGGGAGGGTAAGCCATAGGATATGCCCAGTCGGCGTTGCTGGCAATCGTTATATCAAGCATTTAATAAATAGAAGCTGTCAGTAGTTTATCTGTCCGTTGTTGCTGCCCATTACATAAACATATTATTCAAAACAGTCTTCAGATTTTGGAATTAAGAAACGTTATCAGCTCGATCCTGTTGTTCCTTTGCGCCTGAAAATGTTTGTTGATCCTAAACATATGCACAATTCATTCTGATAGGAGGTTCTCATGTGTAAGGGTTATTAATAGTATATGGAATCGTAGATTAGAATAAAGATTCGCCCTTTGCCTAACTCCCACTGTCTGGCAGTGGCATTATGGAACTTTCAATCAAGCAGAAGTGTAATACTTGATTGACGCGTATTTAGTAAGTTTTGAAATGATCGTCTTGAATAAGATAGATATTTCCTATCGAGGACAGAGGTAAATAAACTTAGCTGACCGTAACTACGCGTAGGTTAGCACAGTTGGCACCACATGCAGCGGATAAGAATTTGAAAATTTTCACTTAATGCACTTTTCAACCTCACTTCTGTACTTTCAAAATAACACTTTTAAAAATGAAATTGTAGATTTATCGGGAAATCTATAATTAATCATCGCAAGCTAAAATTGATATTTATTTTTTTATTATTCTGATAACATTGGCAAACTAACTCACGAAGATGTAACACTCCGTACTTCATACTGTTTTTTTCATAATTCATACAATGTTATTCCAGTTGGCTCTCAATCCAATCAATATATTTAGCCACGTTGGTGTACACTTCGGGCATGTCCTTGGATCCGCAGCTTCTTGGTCCCATGCTAGAAATTCCGTACAGGTAGTTATTAACATGTTCTTGCTTCGTAAATGGACTACCGCCGGGGGAGGAACTACTGCAGGAGTCCCGACTGTCTAATCCTTTAGCGCACATCTGCGTATCGTTGATAGTTACTCCCAAGCGACCGTATATATTGGCACAGCTTTCTGAATCCGTTACTTCTAAACGAACCTTCAGCTTCACGTTGCTGGGAGTGCCTGTTAAATTATAAATCGATTACACTGAGGCTTATGTCCGTGAAATCGTAGAACATACCATTCTCGGTTTTCCCCCATCCTGCGGCATAACCCGTTTGGCCAACCTTATTCTGAGAGCGCTGTGGTTCTTCAGTTGGCAAACAAACCGGAGAAATGGAATCCGACATGTCCACAGACTTGTTGAACCGAATCAACGCAATGTCGTTGTAGTGCGACTTGTTGTTCGCATAGTCTTCATGAACGATGATCTTCTCAATGCCCATATCAACCGGTGCGTCAACACAGTGTTCACTTGCATATACACAATCCGGTTCTGTAGTAAGATCCCATTCACCCAAGCGGACACCGATCCTGTGAATTGTAAATTAAGACCCATTCAAATCGATGGACGGTCATCGAAAAATGATAAACTTACACTTTCCAACCGCTGGGCATTGTCTGGATACAATGGGCTGCCGTTAGCACGTACCGGGAGTTGATCAGTGATCCACCGCAGAAGAATCCGGTTAGACCATTGGATTTCCGGTACTGGATCAGAGCCGTCCAAGGGAACTCATCTATTTGAGTTTGTGGGCCCCCTATTAGACGGTCGCTTAGCGCCATGCCACAACGGGGTGGCTTCGGCAGGGTTGCCACCGGTTCTTTTTGAGCTGCCGAATGATGACATCGTTTGAAAAATCCTCTCTACCTGTTGGTCACTAGAATACTCACCCAAAACATGTCCCAATGTTGAAAATCTTAGCAGGATTAAGGTCACACAAATTCCAATAATCTTCGACATGTTGTTTACTCTACAGTATCTTCGATTCAAACAAATATTTGCCCTTGCCGTCAAATGTGTTCCAGGATAATCCTTTTTATGAAGTCAAACGCCAGCTAGATGTGCAAGGTATAGTGAGAAGTGTATTGAATAATTTCCTTTTATAGTAAGTTTGTTATCAGCTCTGAGTTCAAAGCAGTGCAGGCATTCAGGATTTTTCCTAACCATCATCATTCTGGGTTCCTGCGGTTGTTTATGTTTCTGTTGCATTTATTAAACCAGATCAAAACAAACTACATCTATGATTGATTAATTGCTACGAGTCGCCCAGTGCACACAACACAACCAGGAAATTCCAAATGTTTTGCCTTCCTCTTACATCTAAATAGGTATTTTGAAAGACCATAATACATAGGAAGAACCCCATTTAATTTTATCATGATCTGCCATTTGGCTCAGGAGATACGAACTAAAACTTTCAGCGATGGCTGAACCAATTTCAGTTTCACTTTGATTGTATACGTATGGGAGCCAGAGGCCTATTTAATTGAATTTATTTGGTTCCAGAGGTATAATGAGAAATCTCGAGTCATTTTTCAAATAGACGAATGTAAAATATCCGCCATTTTGAGAACATCGAAGTTGAGGTTTGCCATATTATTAAGTTAACTATTAAGAAACAAAACATTTAGTAATAATATTTCTACCGAGGTCAGTAATCAACCCGTAAAGTACCAGGACGAACGAATTTTTTTCAACAAACTCGTTCTCAGCAATGCCTCATCCGATTTTCATAAACTTTGATTTTTATTCAAGGGGAAAAGTTGAACTAACTTTTGTCGTAGGTACCACCCCCTTAGAACCCTCCTCGTTCTTGGTAGATGAAAATATGTCTGTGTTTTTTTGAACTTTTTTAACCAGTTTGACCAAATGTTTTAAATTTTCATGCGAATCGGTTGTCTGGTGCAGCAAATGATATCAGATAGAGGAAATATGATTAGTAATAGGGGAAAAGTTGGCTTCGGCAATACCTTTACCTATTATCGTCAAGGGGGTAAACAGAGAGCTCAATTTTGGCATGTGGATACATTGTGTTTCAGAGCAACTATTGGCCAAATTTCAGTGCTCTAGGACTTTGTTTACCCCCCTGACGATAATAGGTTCAGGTATTGCCCAAGCCAACTTTTCCCCTACTGAATGTAGATATTTCCATAACGTATAACTACGATATTATCGGTTCCGGGAGTCCCGGAAATCGGTTCTGTAGGACATTGTAATATCTCAGGCAAAAGTATCTTGTGGCATGTCAAATCATGTCAAATAGGTAGAATCAAGTGAATGAAGATGATTTGAGATGTTTTTGGCCAGTTTAGCATCGGTTCCGGAACGCGGATCTGTGAATTCCGGCGAACGGTTTGTTGGAATATAATTACATTGAGGTTATGATATCATATTATGCTAAAATGACAAGTTATGATCAATGAAATCAGGTTGTAGTTCATCTGATGACATATGGGCACATTGCCATCGGTTCCGGGAAATCCATGAAATTTTCGCTCCACAGTGCTTAAACGGTTCCAAATTGGGTCCTGATTAGCCTCCCAAAATTTAAACTCATTCGGTAAGAAACTGACTTGGCACAAACTATTCGAAATTTATATGCGAAAACCAAACTTTTTGTTCATTGTCTTCTACCCATTTTCCATATTGCTTTTTCGAAAATTTCTATAACTATTCTTACGGGAACTTTGTGGAATATTGTTTTTCAGCCAAATGTCAAATTAAATTGTTATTAATTGTTTAAGAGATTGATAATCTTATGGCATGATCAAGCAGCTGTTCTCACTCTGAGTGAACGCTCACGAATCATAAGACCGCTGATTGTGATGCTCTCAAAGTGAAATTGACAGGTTGTATGAGTCAAACACATACTTCACGACCTCTTCTTGTAACTTACAAGTACTAATTTGCATTATACTATGTCATGATTTCATAATTCCGAAAAACATTTTTTTATAGCAAGTGAGTGGAAGTAACCCTGCTTACATTTGATTGAAAAGTGCTGTTCAAGAAAGTTGTAGCTTGCTATAATTACTGCTTTCATTTTTAAAAGCATAGTGATGTGGTGAATTGTTAGATAGATATGAACAAAAACATAAGTTTTCCCATAGTAATTCCCATATAAACTTGAAATGGTTTGTGCCAAGTCAGTTTCTTACTAAAGTTGTTCAAATTTTGGGAGGCTAAGCAGGACCCAATTTGGAGCCGTTTAAGGACTGTGGAGTGAAAATTTCAAATTTTGCATCAGTCTATTGTCCACCCACGATTGCTACTCTGTTATTGCCAGATCAGCTGTAATTACACAGAGAACCAAAAGACGATGCTTGGGGCTAGCATTCATCCTCAATGTGTAAAAACTGGTTATCTAAAACTAGGCAATACCAGCGCCGGTCACGCTCGAGCGCAGGTCAAGAATGGGTAGGGATGTGTTGATGCAACAGTTGATCCACGAGGAATCACTGGGATGTTGGGTAAGAGGGTTGGGCTTGCAGCAGGGTTCGTTTTAATAAACGATAAGCTGAATTGATGTCCTAACGATTATATAACGTGAAGGAACTTGGGAATGAACCCACGGTCTTCTGCTAAGTAAGCATAAAGGATTGCCACTAGGTAAACGAGCTCCTGCCTAATCATCGAGTTGCTGTTATTACCATGTAGTCATATTAACAAATAAAACGATAGACGAATCTTGAATGTGGATAGGACTGAGATTATACTCACGATTTTCTGCTCAGTGTAAGCAAAAACAGTCGCTTTAAGGTCATCGAGCCCCTCATGTTACATAATACTGTTAATCGAGTTGTTATAACCATTCAAACCCGGCACCGACGACGACGCAAAGTTTCTCCAGATACACGATTAACAAGCGATTTGACCATAAATCTTTTTAATATGAATGGTCCTGCAACCGACGATCTTTCAAATCAGTAAACTAAAAGCTGCGAAAAAGCACTGAGGCCTTCATTAAGTTCCACTTTCACACGACGTTCAATGTTTCGATTTCTCTCTACGCATTGTTCAGCCTATCATAACAAAGCAGCTTTGGATCAAAATCAAACTGCAGAACTATGATGTCAGCATTGGAGTGCTTTATCTACCACCTGATTGCAGAGACGACCTGTCGCTCATACAGCAGCATACTGACTCCATTGATTCAATCCTTTCCGGCTTGAGGCCTCATGACCTTGCTTTCCAGTTTGGAGACTATAATCATCCTGAAATGCACTGGGTACCATCAGAGGATGGTGGCCTCACAATAGATTCCCATACATCGAGATTAACGAATGCTAGTTGTGCATTGTACGATGCCTTCTGCTTCCAGGGTCTGACACAAATCAATACTGTGAAGAACTCCAGTTCACGGATTCTCGATTTAGTACTCGTGAATGACTCAGCGTTATCAAGCTGTTGCGTATCCGAAGCGGCTGTGTCGCTCGTAGAAATCGATACTCCACATCCTGCTATTGAAGTCACCGTTTTTATTTCGGTACCAGTGTCATTTGAACCATCTCTAGACGACTGCCGGTTCGATTTTCGTCGGGCTGATTATAGTTCGATGAATGATGCGCTATTATCAATCGATTGACAATTTTAGGATTCTGATCAGGATCTGGACGATATTGTATGTATTTTCAACACGGAAATACGTCAAGTCATCGAAGCTCACGTGCCTCTTCAGCGCCCTCCACTGAAGCCTCCTTGGACGAACAGGAGCCTCCTCCAGTTGAAGCGCCGTAGGCGATCTGCACTTCGAACGTATAGTCGGAGTCGTTCGCAGCACTCCAAACATCGCTTTGTAATCGCCAGTAACAAGTACACACCGTATAACCGTCTATTGTATGCTCGATACGTTGATCGTACGCAGAGAAATTTACGTCTACATCCCAAACAGTTCTGGTCTTTTGTTCGTACTAAGCGCAAGGAAGATGGATTGCCAACGTCCATGTATTTCGGCGATCAATTTGCTAGCACAGCCTCTAGTAAATGTGAGATCTTTGCTGAACGCTTCAAGAAAGTCTTCTCAAATACGCCTGCTACGCCACCGCAGATAGAGGCTGCTGTTCGTGATACGCCGCTAGACAGCATCGACTTTGGAATTTTCCAGATCAGCGAGGAGCATGTCGAAAATGCATTACGTAAAGCTCAAACATTCCGTGTCACCCGGTCCTGATGGGATTCCTTCATCTGTGTTGAAAAACTGCTCGAGTTCTCTGATGACACCGTTAGTAAAACTGTTCAATCTCTCGTTCCAACAGCAAAAATTTCCTGCTGGATGGAAAACTTCGTTTCTGTCACCGATTCACAAAAAGGGTAACAAATGTAACGTCGTCAACTACCGTGGAATAACGTCCTTGAGCGCTTGCTCTAAGGTTTTTGAAATAATTGTAAACAACGCTCTCTTTGAAGCCACCAAAAACTACATTTCATGTGCCCAGCATGGATTCTACTCGAAACGATCTGTTACTACTAACCTCACTCAGTTCACCTCACTCTGCATACGCTCTATGGACGCTGGTTCACAAGTGGACGCCGTATACACGGACTTCAAGGCTGCATTCGATCGTGTGAATCATGATATCCTGTTGCAAAAACTCGAGAAGCTGGGGGTATCTTCCGCGCTTGTTAGCTGTTTTAGATCATATCTGTCTGAAAGATCCGTGAGAGTAAGGATTGGTTCGTCACATTCGGAGCCGTTTATGATTCCTTCTGGTGTACCGGAAGGGAGTAATCTTGGACCGCTGCTTTTCTCATTATTCATAAATGACATTGCCTTTGTGTTGCCACGTAGACAGCGAATATTCTATGCCGACGATGTTAAGATCTTTATGATCATCACGTGCACTGAGGATTGCCTGGAGTTGCAGAGGTTATTAGATTTGTTCGAGGACTGGAGCAAGCGAAACCTACTCGATTTACGCATAGCCAAATGCAACACAATATCATTCAGCAGGAAGCGGCAACCAATCAATTTCAACTACAGCATGTGTGGACAAACTCTCGAGCACTTGTATCAGGTTAGGGATCTCGGTGTGATATTGGACCGCGAACTCACTTTCCGACCGCATTACGAAGACGTGATTGCAAAAGCCAATAAACAGCTCGGCTTCATGTTTAAGCTTGCTGATGGATTTCGTGATCCTCTCTGCCTGAAG